GAGTAACTTACGTATAATTGCATTTTTATTCAGCATTATATAAAATTATTTGCGTTTGTCTAGAATCTAATTTACTTTTTTATTTTTATTTTTTTGTTTTTACAATGTTTCATTCAATCTGTTGCAAAAAAGAACAATATGAACAACTTAGGAAGTAATAAATAGTAATAAAAAATAAGATAAAAATAATTTACTCTTATAAATAGAAAATAATAGGTAAGTATCACACTCTTCGAATGAAAAACGGCTCAATCCGAATTAATATTATATTGGCGCGTACCTATTTCGGATTTTAAAATTACATGCCATTATGATGTACCATTTTTATATCATTGGATAAAGTAATAACAATAATTGCCTTGAATTAAAAAAAAATAGAATTTCTGTTATCGATTACCTAAATGTATGGTTTCTTATTTTATTTCAGCATACATGCATGCCGAAATTCTATTGCGCAGTTACTTGAAAAAAAAAACCCCATAAATGGTTTATACACCCACACAGCATGAAAAGTAATAATACTGTTTCGTTTTTCATAAATCGTACAAAAACGGTCACACAATGCAAGTCACACACGTACGACTCACAAACACATGCTCATCCACACACTATTGATTATGGGACACGGTAAATCGAAACAGATAGGTATAATTTATGTAGGTGCTTAGGTGCATGTACCCACCGAATAAGTTAAAGCGTCGTTTTATTTAGTAAGATCGCAGCTCGTAGGGATAAAAACATAATAATTTTATTATCATAATACACAATATAATATTTGGGGCGTGCTGCAGCAGCGACTTAGAAACTGAGTTCAAAATATTATATATATATATATATATATGCAGTGGCGTACGCAGCGGTAGGGTTCTAAGGTGTTGACCCCCTCCTAAAATTTTTCATTTAAAAAAAAAATCTTATTTACCATCATTTCAATAACAGAGTCGATTTTTATTAAATAAAAATTAAATTGTTAATTTATCATTAATTATAATTTGTAATAGCTAATTATACAAAAACTGTTACGCAAATTATTTAAATTGTTTATTATTATTTAAATTATTTACTCATGTAAAACTCTAATCGGACTAAAATCCTCTGTACGTCACCTGATATTATGTAAGTTGCCTGTTCTACCTTGCGCGTTGCCGAATTATTTAAATGATTGTAGATTTTGTGAGCGAACCTCCAGAACGAAAGAGAGAAAAACCAAAACCGTGATGGTAATATATCGTGAGAACGTAATTCTCTGCATTGGGCAGTACGAATATCTATTATACGATATGGTACACGATGTATAGAGAAGGATAGAAACAATACGTTCGTATTATAAATTATAATATAATATAATGCGTAGGCACGTAAAGATGGCAGCTACAGCTGTACGGGGCTCGTTCTTTGTGCATCCGGCGTGATAAGTGTATCCATTATTTTTATAACGTGCGCGGGAACAAAATGCACAAAACAATATAATATTATTATATTCTGTGGCCGMGWTGTGTGTATSTAATACGACTGTGCCGAGTGTGCCGCCGCTATTATATTTGTTATATTGTATAGAGACCATTATTATATTATATTGTGTTCGATATTATTGAGGTCTCCATTTATTATATGGCGTGATGTGGTAAAAAACTTGCACAACTCCGAGATCTAGATTGACACTCTCCTGTGATTTTTATGTAATATATTATTTCTGATGCCACTCTTGTTATTGATTTTTGTGTTAATATTTTTTTTATATGCCACCTACAACTTTAAACGCGTTGTTTTTAATTTTACATTCTTAAAAATAATGATTTTTCTGAAGATTTAAATTGTTATAAATACGTGTATAATTTCGTAGTAATATATGGTTTCTTATTTATACAAACATTTTATGTTTAATTGGTACCAACAGTATAGTACACTACCTTAAACGTTCACACGTGTCACACATAATATTATGATTTATATTATATTAATAATATGATGACGTTTTATTCTAAAAGTATTGCACTAATATAAGTTAATATATAACACATGTTTTGATATTTCAAACTTATAAATAAGACACTAAATTGTTTAAAATTTGTTTTTCATAGACATGGTAATTTTTCGAGAAACATTTTAGATACTGTAAAATAAACAACTAAAAATTCGTAAAAAAATTAAATTCTTAAGCACTAATAGCGGTTCGTTTGAATAAAAATGTCTAACATATTATACATTTCTATTATACGATATCACGTATGTTGAGCAGATGTTAGATAAGGGGACTACATGGAAACATTCAATTAACTCTCCTAGAAATATAGGTTTAGAAAAATTATAGTTTTTCATCACTACATAAAGTTATTTGGGGTTAAAACTAGAGTGAATTCACTTAAACCCTAACTAAAATAGGAAACTCACAATAATTAACTTTTGGATGAATGCCAGTTTTTTCAGTTTTTTCTCGATTATTTTACTCTAAAGTAAGGTACATGATGGCTATTTGAAAATTGTGACAAGTGTATAGGGCGTTAATTTATAAATATTATTTAAATAYGACAACTATATATGTATATTCACAAATTATAGTTAATTATATACGAATGGAATGTATAACATTATAATTAAATGTATATGTGTAATTTGTAGGGGATATTAGGTATATTAATTCAATTTTCAATTTGATGTTGAAAGTAAAAAGAGTAAAATATCAGGGAACTGTGATTATTTTTATAATTTTCGATGCTGCGTAGAAATTGCAGGGTTCCAGGTGCCGACTCGGGATAAAAGAGTGAAAAGTGACTGCAAGCGACTCTCTCTTTATAATTTTATCTCTCTCACGCAGTGACGCACACGTTCACGCACCACTCTCTCGCTGCTCTCTCTGTGTTTAATACTTATAACCAGACACACACACACACACACAACGCACAGCATGTACATGTTGTGTGTGCGTGGACGGGTCCATCGAACGATTTATTTGGGGTAAGGAATCTTCTACGAGTTTTGATAGATTTGCCCAACGTTTTCAACGGTGATTTAATATTTTGGACCGCCACCACGCCAGTGTGGCGTTCGGTAGAGCTATATCGATCGCCCCCGCCCGAAACCACTCTGTTCGATGCACCGCCACCATTCAAAAAATAACATCCTACCAGTTTATGTTGGTATAGAATAATAATAATATAAACTACACAGTACACAGCGTGTTTGGAATTTTACGCTATTCATAAAAAAAAACGCGGTGAAGAAACATAATATTTGCGACGTGTTATAATGATTCATTGTAATATTAATATATTATTATGCGTTTTGTACAATACATTGATAATATAATATAATATAGAAGGTGCCTAGGTAGTTAACGGATAATACATGACTTGTAGCAATTTTTTTGTAATTATATTTATCGAATATAGTTTTGAAATTTATAGGTAGGACCGTTTGAATACCAACAGAAGGTACCTACTGTCAATATTATGAAAAAACCCAAATTGTTCTGTTATCAAAACTATAGCCCTCCAACTATGAAACCTTATTTCAAAATATTTAAGTTTTTTCACCCAGTTATTTAACCTATAGTACAATTAAAATTATAATTGAACTGTTTAATAAATATTAATTCTTTGCTCTTCATAGTATAGTATTGGTATAAATGTATAATGATGTAAATTATTCATGACCTTTTAAAAATAAAATATAAACATATAAAGTACTGATTAATTTGTAATTAAATTTCACCTTCAACTGACATTGGTGAACTGATTAATACAAAATTCGGTAATCTTAATTTCAAATTACATTTGCATATTTTAGATGTATTTTAACGCTAATTAGGAATAAATAAATAAAATTAGTTACAAAAAACATTACGCAACAATTGAAATAATGATGAGGTTTGATCCAACCTTTTGACTTTTGATCTGTTCTATAATATAATAAATACTGTTGTTAGTATTGAGTAAATAATATTATAGGCGCTTTGATAATAATTTATTGTGTATTATGATTTCGGATTTATTTCAATATGGAATAATATACGAGTATTAATGGAAATTCAATATGATATTATATTATAATATAATATAGTTTGCTTAGTATTTAAATTAAATACTTTAATCAATAATTTGTTATCGATTTAATACCACCATTAATWATTATATAACGTTTACATTCAAGCAGATTATAGAATTTTACACTCGACTATTGATTATAAAATATAATAGATTTTATAACAAACCCATTCAATGTCATCACGTTATATTGTAATATCATACAATATAATATACTTATATATTATTTTAATCAAAATTAGGTACATTTGTACAACTTAGTGTAATATAATATTATTAAGTTCACCAGAGCCGGCCCAAGGTATTTTGACGTCCCGGGAAATTTTTTGAAAGGCGCCCTTAATCAAAGGCTCCATAATACATTTAATACTGTTTATACTTACCTACATAGGTATTTTGTTTAAAATATTCTTATACTTATGGATAGGTAAAGGATTGCAATAACTAATGTCCTATGATGCCTGGTTGTAAAAATAGATCAATTAAAAAAGGATTGTAAAACTTATTTGGATACAATTTATAGACGTATCGGCTGTAACACATACTTTTTTGGTTTTCCCGTGTTAATGAATATAATATATTATTATTGTATATTATTTTTTAATTTTTTGTAATATAATAATAAAAACTGGAAAGTGGAGTAAAATCTATAAAAAAAAATATACAACAGAATATTCTATCATAGATAATTTAGTCATTTAGCTATATTATTGTCAATGTGAATAAATATTACGCTAAAATTTATAAAATATTTGTATATTAAATGCGCCCCTAAAAAAGTAGCGCCCCGAGCTACCACCCTGTTCGCCCGTATCTTGGGCCGGCACTGAAGTTCACATATCTATATACATATATAAGTAAAATAAATTATACTTAACATACTTATTATTTTGGATTCTTGGTGGAGGTGAAGCAATGATTTTGAAATAATATACGAGATTTTTTTTATATCGAAAAATGCTTAGATCTTCAACTCAAAGAGTAGTATCTGATGGCGAAGATCTAGTAAGTTATAAGTCAATCTAAACTCTAAAGTCAAAAATAGAAAATTCCTAATATCTTTCAATATAATTAGGTGAAAACAGGAAATTTMTAAGCAAACCCAGATATCGACGAAATAGACTTTGTTCTTAAGGTGTAACTGAAAAACAAATAATATCCGTAGATACTTTAAATGTTGATMGAATGTTAAAGCTAGAATTTTCTACATATTATAAAATATTTTGAATTATATTAGATGTATAATAACGGCCGAAAACCTTGAAAAAATAATTTAGAGCTCCTTGTAATTTGTTCATATAACATATCGAAAACACAAAGTAATATTATTTTTGTATAAAAACTTAAAGTTAGAATTATGACCAAATTCCTAAAAGTTAAAATTATTGATTATTATCCATGATTATTTTTTGATGAGTGTCGAAAGTTCGAATATTAAAGAAATAGGAATTCATGTATAAAACAATAATGATAAAATATCAAACAATTATCTTATTTTAGYGTACCTCATTAAAAAATAGATATACGTAGATACATAAGAAATGCTGGATATATCAAATGTTTATAGTATAATTTTTAAAGATAGTATGATTTAAAAAATATATTTACTCTTTTTATACTATTGTAAGACATTTTTAATTTTTAATCTTTTTTATAAATATTTGAAAATTATCTTAATTTTCTATTTAATTTTTAAATTTTCAATAAATATTGATAAAATATTTTTCTTGGTCAAAAAGTTTAAAAATTGATATATTATGATTTATCATAAGTGTTATTAAAGTAATTTAAAAATATTCAATAAACAGGCGTACCTAATTTTTTTTTATATACATTTTAAGTTCAAATGTACAGTGATAAATTTTAATACCGTAAGTTTGAAATTTAGATAGGCATCAATACAAGATTTTTCACAAGTATATTATAAGTAAGTATTCCATAAATGTGACAAGGTATATTTTGAATAACTCGAAATTTATTATTTACTTTTTTCGC